ATAATCATAGTTATCTAGTTTTTCAATGTGAGGATCAGCAATAATTCAGCTCACCTTTTTTACTTGTCTTTGTTCAGCTCACCTCGAGTCTGAAAGAAAATAAATAACACGGATATTTAGAACAAATTCTATATACTCAAAACAAGACTAAAAAAACAAAACAAACTTTCCTTGCTGTTTGGTTTTTCTTTTCCGGCTGGTTCTTTTCACATCAGATCAAAGAAGACAAAATACTGACTAAACGAAGGTCTTGACTGCGGACATTTTTACAGTTCGACATATTCTCGAAAAACAAGCGATTTTTTCACGACCTTTTCTAGACTTTTTAAAGCTTTAGTAGTTGAGGTATTTACTTGCAATGTGGTTGGTTGTGTAAGTCAGTAAACTGTTGGGAAGAGAGCAATAATCCAGTAGAAATTCTTGGTTGATGAAGAACAAAGAACAAAACCAACTTTGAAAAACTTCCAACCAACCAGTCACGTGATGAAAAGAGCGGGGAAATAAGAATCCACGCTGATTGGTTCATGTCAGGGAACTTGAACCAATCAGAGAACATTAATCATCATCATCATCATCATCATCATCATTTCCTGTCAAAGATTAAGAGGGAACGGGGTTAGGGGAACTGAATTACAAAAGATATAAATGCATATTTATGTTTTGATTCCTTTAACAGAGAGTGGTTAGCCTTTGTGTGATGACGATGATCATTAATGTTCTCTGATTGTTTACATTTTTGTGAAAATTTTACCCTAACCTCCACCTCACGCTAGGGATCGTAAGGGATTATGGGAAACTATGGTCATGCCAGGTAATTTGAAGTGTTCAGTGAGGATCAGTGCGGTATTCGTCGTATTTCACCGATTTCCCCAACCCTTTTCCTCTCAATAGGATTTTTTTTCTTTCAGTTATCAGAGTGATTCCTAGCGCGTAAAGCCCGTACATTATTATGGTGATTCTGCAATACCGTTATCTCTTTGATATGAACGTAAGAGACCATGAATGATAGTATCCCTCTTTAGTCATTTCATTAAAGTCATCGCAAAAAAAAAAAAATCGGCTGAGAATTTTCTGCTGTTACTAAGGACGGACCGTTCTCAAAAGTATCGTGGATACGAGACTAACATGGAAATACTAAAGAAAAAAAGGGTGGAAGAGCTCGTAGGAGCCAACAGCCATCAAGCAAGCGTCTTCTCGGATAATGACGTAAAACCGGAGGTCCCGTCTGCTTGCACTTGACCCCCGATAAAGTGGACGTAAAAGATCCTGTGGTATTTTTCGTAAGAGTAGGGGATTGTTACCCGATACAACAGTCTGACCTTTAGTCATGGTTTCGTCGTGCGTGTGTGTTTATTTATTTTATTTTCGTATCATTTATTTTATTTTATTTATTTTTCCCTGTGGTATGGGTTGTGTAGCGGCAGCCACAGGCGCCAAGCAAAGCTCACAGCCTACCACAGTTTGTGGTTTTTCTTTTTGTTTAAAGCGCCTAGAGCAGATTTGGATAGGCGCTATATAAATATTTATTATTATCATTATTAATATTATTATTAAATCCCTTTTTTTCGATGGCATTTGTGGTATTTCTTTTGTGTTCATGTTAGCCTCGCATTTAAGACACTTTTAAGAAGGTTCATTGAACGGTTTCGTATTTGAAAACCCTTAGAACTGTGGAAGAGTGTACACCAAGGATGGAAACAGAAGTAAAAATACAAATTCACCACGTATTTGGGAAGATGGATTAACTAATTGCCCTATTTCATAATGACGTCACATCAAAACAAACTATTGTTTTTAACGCTAGGGATCATGGTCGCTGGAGGGGGATGGAATGACAACTACACATCTTAAATCACAATGAAATGTGGTTTATGAGCCGGTGAAGACAAGAACAAATAAGTATTACGCTAAATATCTCGAATTAAAGAAGAGAATTAACCTTAAATTTAGCCTCAATTTCTATCTTTTTAGCCGATGTAAACAAACTATGACGTCATTATGAAATAGGGCAATTAATTAACTAAAAGTATCGTAAAAAGATTGCCGAAAACCAAGTCGAAATCAGATTCTCAAAATATAAGAAAATTTTATCCTTTGTAAAATATTATAAATTAACTTGGAAGCTAGGTTTTTCTACAAAGTTACATACCTTATAACCCTTTAAATCAGGTTATTTTCAGCCAATCAATTCAAAGCGAAAGAATTCCCTTAAAAAGATCAATGAAAAATTAAGAATTATACTTGTTATGCTCCTCTAGAGCTCATTATTCAATCACATGGATTAGACTGCATGCTGTACGCGGACGATACACAACAATGGACCCTGACTGCAGTGCTTCAACTTTAAACTAACTTAATAGAGCAATGTATCTATGACGTACAATCCTTTTTTGCAACGAACAAGCTTAGCTGCAATACATCTAAGACTGAAATAGTCTCGTTTTTCAAAAGAACTTACAATACCTAGCATAAAGATTGGACAACATATAGTATCTACCAATAAAGAGGCACGTAATTTAGGAGTTATATTTGATCAACATCTCACTTTGTCTAGACATTTCAACAATGTTTGCTCGTTCAGACTTATTAGCAATTAGAAATATCAGAAGATTGATGGTTTTCAACCATTCCCAAGAGAATGAAATAACAAAAGACACGTCGGCCATGTTGGAGGATATAACAAAAGAATTCATTGACAATTCTTTTGTTAAATTCATCCAACATGGCCGCCTTGAAAACCTTAATAAGGAAATATCTTGACAGCTTCTCCGCTGAGCGTTTAGTACATGCTTTTAATTCATCGAAGTTAGATCATCGTAATAGCGTTCTATATGGCTTACCTGCCAAACATTTAAGTCAGTTGCAGCGCATCCAAAATTCAGCAACCAGGTTAGTGACCAGGGCCCGGTTGCATAAAGCTCTCTTAAGATAAGAGCATCCGTAAGTATTGCTCCAAAACAATATAGGTGTTAGGTAGGTTAGGTTATAGGTAACTTACGAGTGTTTTTAAGCTTTTTTATCTTAAGAGAGCTTTATGCAACTAGGCCCATGTGTCATTCCCTAGAGTATCATTTCTTTGTTTAACGGTTGCACATGAGAAGACACATGAATACGGATACGACTCAAACAAAGAATCCTATTCTCAAGACCACGTGTCATTTCCTAGAGTATCATTTCTTTGTTTAATGGTTCCACATGAGAAGACACATGAATATGGATACAACTCAAACAAAGAATCTTATTCTCAAGGGAATGACACGTGTTCTGAAATGGGACAACATTACGTCCAAACCGAGGAGGTCTATTAAATTAAATTTCAAAAGATATCAGAAATAACACTAAAAAAGCTCGCTAAGAATAGCACTTGTGTGCTATCATATTTAGTGAGAATAAATAAATATTTATCACTATTATTATCATTAAGATTTTGCATTACTTATGAAGGATCTGCAAGAGGTAAATTTTGGCTATTTACGAAAGATGCATAACAGATTTATTTTGACCATTTTCGGGCAAAATGCATGGACTATAGCCCATGGTTTTGATGGATTTTTGGCCATTTTCCCACCTTTTCAAAAAATATGCATTTTTAATGGACTAGACATAATAGCTCATTTTTGGCGATTTTCGGGCAAAATTCATGTACTATAGCCCATGGTTTTGAACGATTTTTGGCCATTTTCACAAATTTTGAAAAGATATGCATAATTTATGAAGGATAAAAAGTACGGCATTTTTGGCCATTTTCGGGCAAAAAGCATGGACTATAGCACATGGTTTTGATCGATTTTGAGCCATTTTCACACCATTTCAATAAATATGCATTATTTATGGGGTAGACAAAATAGGTCATTTTTGACCATTTTCGAGCAAAAAGCATGGACTATAGCCCATGGTTCTGTTGGATTTTGGGCCATTTTCACACGTTTTGAAAATATATGCATTATTTATGACCGATGCAAAATAGGTCATTTTTGGCCATTTTAGGGCAAAAAGCATGGACTATAGCCCATGGTTTTGATCGATTTTGG